TGTTTGCACAGAATTCATGTTTGAATAGTATAATCGGTATAAAAAAGGACAAGTATAATATATTATATAATAAGTATTATATATATAATATTAATAAAAAAAAATTTTTTTGTTCAAACTGGTAAATCGCGAAGGCGTTTTAAGTCACCATAAACATTTTTTTTATTAATATTTCTCTTTAATGGTGGTTTAGCGTTGTTGTTTTCGAATGAATAATAATAATAATAGTAAAGGAATAATAATGGTGGGAATCGCAGACGATTTTGTCGTAAAAGTTGTGATAGAACGATGGTGGTAGCTCTTGAAAGAAATGTATGTGCGTGTGCGTGTGCGTGCGCGTGCGTACGTCGCGGATATATTTATTTTTGTTAGTAATCAATCATTTATTTTATCGATGCAAATTAGTAATTAAAATGAATTAATAAGAAAAATGAAAATTGTACCTGTTAAAGTTTCTCTCGTGAAAATAACGTGAAAATTTTCTTTCTTTTTTCCTTTTTTCCTTTTTTTTTTTTTTTTTGATTTTCCTGGACAATTGCCAGTTGAGTCTGCATTCTCGTTTTCTTCCTCGTACGCAGCCAAATTTCAAAATAACAATTTAACAATTTTCTTTTTTACTCGAATTACAAATTCGCCATGACTAAATTTTATTTTTCGGGGATATTTAATTATATTTATTCGTATAACTTTTTAGGTGAATTGTTTAATTTTTTATTAGATTTTCTGTCTCTCTCTCTCTCTCTCTCTCTCTTCTATTTTATTTTAAAAAAGGTGAGAAAAAAAGAGAGAGAGAGAGAGAGTCGGCGACGTTTTCCTTTCTCTCACTCTCTCTCTCTCTCCTGTTGTGTTTTTTGATTAAAGGTTACTACGGAATGGGGATGCATTAATTGCATTAGTTTATTAAAATGGGGGGGGGAGGGGGCGTAAAAAAAGGAAAACTTTCGGTGGTTTTACCATCATCATCATCATTCTCATTCTCATCATTATTATTATTTTTTCATTGAAAAAGAGGAAGGAATTTTCCGATCGGAGAGAACTCTTGTTTCATTTAATGTGATCTGCAAGCCGTGTTTATTGATTCACCCTTTTACGCATGCGCTTTTCCTATATTTTGACACATCAATTTTTTTTTTTTTTTTTTCTTGTCGGATATAAAAAGAACTAACTATAAAAAAGGAAAAAAAAAAAATGGAGAGCAGAATTTATTATTATTATTATTATTATTATTAATAATATGACAATTGATATTGGATAATGTTGCATCATTAATAAAAACATTGCACGACTTTTTTTTCGGTTAATTTTGAGGGGAATCCCCCTTTTTTTTATTTGACTGACTGACTGACTGAGGAAAATCTCTTAGGAAAAGAAAAATTATAATTTTTTATGATGTTATGTTATGATGTTAAGAACGGTTTACTAATTACACGTGAATTTAAATTAATAGGAATTTGGTTTTGTTTTGCCTCCCCACCCTTCCACCTTCCCCCCTCCCCGCCACCGTAAATCTACAAAATTTTTATTATTGTAATTTTGATTAATTTCGATTTGTCTTTTCTTTTCTTTTTTTCTTTCTTTTGATTTGTATTGAATATTGTTGGTAAAAAAAAAAAAAAAAATGGACGATTTGATAATATGTCTTTTATTTATTTATTTATTTATTTGTTGTAAAAAAAATTTTTATTTTAAATTTGTTTTTATTAAGTGCGAAAAAAAAAAAGTTTGGTTGAATGAACCATTGCCAAAAAAAAAAAAAAATTTAAATTTTTTGTCGATGCCTGGAATTGATGTGAGAGAAAAATCGATAATAATATTATCGAATTTGGAAAATTTATTTTTAGTCATATTTGAAAAAAAAAAAGAAAGAAAACTCACTTGTGTGTGAAAATGTCTTTCGGAAGTGGGGGAAAAAAAAAAAAAAATAAATAAATAAATAATAATAATTACTGATATTTATTATTATTATTATTATTATTATTATTATTGGTAACACATGAGAAGAAAACAATGTTTGGCTTGATACCAATTTTTTTTTGGTCTTTCTCAAGTGTGCGTGCGTGCGTGAGTGCGTGTGCGTGTGCGTGTGCGTGTATATATATAAATATATAAAAATTTGTGTGTATTTCTGATTCAGAGACCGAATTACTGACCAGACGTTATTAATTTTTATTTTGACACGATATTTTCTTTCTCTTTTCCTTTCTCCCATTTTAATATT